GGTTAAGCGTCAGACTTTGGCTCAGGTCATGATCTCACCATTCGTGGGTCTGAGCCCCGCGTCGGCCTCTGTGCTGACGGCTCAGAGCCCGGAGCCTGCTTCAGATTCTGTGTCTCCCTCTTTCTCTGCCCCTCCCCTGCTTGCGCCCTGTTTCTCTCCGAAAGATGAATAAATATAAAAGAATTTTTTTAATGTCAGCTTTTCAGGTAACCGAGTCCTGGGGTCGGATTCCTGGGTCGACCGCCTCGCCCTCAGGGTTTCCAGTAGTTCCGTCAGGCTCGGGTGCAGGGGTCCCTGGGAAGGTGTCTGGTGGCTGTGGTCAGCGCCCACCATTGGCTGACTTTCTGTGCGGGAGGTGGTCCTCCGTGCCCTGGGTGGGCCTCACGCAATCAGTCGCAGGCCTTTTGAGCCAAACTGGATTTTGGACTTGTCAGCCCTCGCGACCCCACGAGCCAAGCCCTTACGATAAGTCTGTCATCTACCTGCCTGGCTCTGTTTCCCTGGAGACCCCAGGTTTTCTAGGATGAAGAGAAGCTACAGGAACCGGGTCGGGGTTCGGCTGCTGGGGACGGGCGTCTGTGTTGCAGACAGTGGCCACAGGAGGGCAGCAGAGACCCCCTAATGGGAGGCGCGGGCAGAGCGGCCCGGGGACCTGGAAACACAGGGCAGGAAGCACACGCAAGAAAGCACGGCCTGAGCCCAGATGGCAGAAAGCAGCGGGTGGGAGAGGAAGGGCGACGTTTGAGTTCACGTCTTAGAGGCTTTTAGGAACCTTGAAAAATGGAAACCAGCTTGTCGTAGGGCCACCTAGAGACATCTTGCGGCCAGAGGGAGAACAGCGAGGGGACAGGGAGGGACGCAGACCTCCTGACCCTCTGCCCGGAATCCAGTGTGGGCCCGCAGAGAGCAAGGACGTTCTCCTAGGAGGCCTCACGGGACTGTCACACCCAGGAAATTAGCATGGACGCAGTGCTGGCATCCAGTTCCCTGTCCGGAAATTCACGCGTCCCCCATTGTCGCACGTGGGTCCCTGCCGACTCAGGAGGGGCTGCGATCCCTGCCCGATTCTTCGTCTCCTTAGAGTGGGAAGTGTCACACCTCAGCCTTTTTTTTTTTCTTCCAGGATACTGACTTTTCTATTTTGCAACTTGTTATTTTGAAATAACTTCAGTCGTACAGAAATAACGCAAGAACTCTTTCACCCAGACTCCCCGATTGCGAACATTTTTCTGAGTTTGTCTTACCGCCCTCTCTCCCTCTTTCCGTGTAGTTTATTTTCTGAACCACCGGACAGCGAGTCGTGGACCCGACGCCCCCTCGGACCCAGACCCTTCGTGTGTGTTTCCTAAGAGCACGACCGGCCTCTTACGCGGCCACAGAACAGATGGCAAAATCAGGAAATGATCGCCACTTACACAGTATTATATTCTATTATCTCATCTACAGACTTTGTTCAGAATTCACACTTGTCCCGGTAAAGTCATTCTCGTGAAGAAGCAAACATCATTTTCTCCTGCTCCAGGATCCGATCCAGGCTCACCTGCTGTCTTTAGCTGGCTCGATTCTGACGTTGTTGTGGACTCTGGGCCAGTCGTTTTAGGGAACGGTCCTCCATTGGGGTCATTGATGTCTCCTGGAACATCAGGTTTCACCCTTGGGAGGAGCTCTCCCCGGTGGCCCTGGGTCTGGGCGAAGTTGATCCCCTGTCCAGGATTAGGTGTTCCTGAGTGTCCCCTCCGCCCTGGCTCCGGGCTGCTGGAAGGGACACGTCCCTACGTGAGCACACAGGTCCTTGCCTCATGGAGCTTTCTGTCCGGGGGCCCGAGTCCGGGCTCCTAGCTGGGACTCAGGACAGGCCAGGACGCCCCCACTGAGTCTCAGTGTCTTCATCCATGAAGTGGGGACGGTAACTTCCCTCATAAGGTCACCTTGGGGAGATGTTGGGAAGGGACCCTCTGTGTCTGGCCTTAGCAACCCAGGGAGGGATGGGGACATAAGGTCCAGATGGGCAGAGGGCCTGGCCCTACATGTGTCCCCACATGTAGCCCGACCTTGCTGGGCTCAGGGAGCTCTTTCCTCCCGGGATCCAGCCTCAGACGTGGTCAGTGCAGAGACTGACTTTCGTTTTCCAGCAGCCGCCTCACCCTGTGCTGACATGTCGCAGACTGGGCAAAGCCGGGAGGCCAGCGCACGAACTCAGGGAGGGGGTTCACCTCGGGGGCGCTGCAGACCCCACAATCGGCAGTGGTTTCGCGGTCCCGCCGGGCCCCGGCGTTCCTTCCGATTCCGAGTCCGGCTTGGGGGATGTGTGCGGGGGTCCCGGGGGTCGTGCCGAGAGGCCCCAGTGGCACCGGGGGTGGGTACAGCCGCCAGCCGGGTCCTGGTGGGGGAAAGCGGCAGGGTGGTCCAGACCCCCGGGAGATGGCTCCATCCCAAACACGCCTGCGCTGGGGGGCGTCGGGCCAGCGCCGGCCGGGTGTGGCCGGCAGGGGGGATGGCAGAGTTTGTGCCCGGTTGCTGGGCCTCAGACTGGCAAAGAGCAGCAGACGATAAACCAGGGCGGCCCAGCTCCAGGTGACGGGCGGCCCCTGAAAGGTGTGGGGGTGGGAGTCTCACCCTGCCCGCCCTTCACCCCGCCCCCCCCACCCCCCCGCCCGACTCTGCCTCCTGCTCTGACTTCTGACCTTCAGGACGTGAGATAATAAATGTGTGCTGTTTCAGCCACGACGTTTGTGGTCATTTGCTCCAACAGCCACAGGAAACTCCCTTTAAATTCCAAGTCTAGCCGTTTATCCCCTCTCTGGGGCTGGCCACGGAGGACGAGAAGACTCTTCCGGGCCCCTGTCCAGGGGGCGCTGACCGTGGCGCCCCCACCGCCCTCAGCGGCTTCCTCGTGCTCCCCACTCCCGGACAGGGGCCCTGAGCCCCAGACCGGACCCCCGGCACTTTGCTCCGGCTCTTTGCTGCTGTTTTGCCCGTTGCCTGAGCCCTGATTCCAGCCCACAGACCCTCAGGGAGGAGGACCATGGAGCCAGACTGTCCCGGTTCTCATCCGTCTCTGCTGGGTGCCTTGGGGAGGCACGTCCCCTCTCGGAGGCCCAGTGTCCTCGCCCGTATAGTGAGGGTGGGCCGTGTCTGTTCTGGCTTCCAAGGGCATCTTGTGAAACACCCATGAAGCTCTTTGCCGCGTTTCCTGATGATGTCACTTTTTTTTTTTTTTTAATTTTTTAACGTTTATTTATTTTGGGGAGACAGAGAGGCAGAACGTGAGCAGGGAAGGGCAGAGAGGGGGAGACACAGAATCCGAAGCAGGCTCCAGGCGCCGAGCCGTCAGCACAGAGCCCGACACGGGGCTCGAACCCACGAACTGCGAGATCGTGACCTGAGCTGAAGTCCGACGCTCAACCGACTGCGCCACCCGGGTGCCCCTGCTGTTTCTTGTTCCATCTTTAAGGCCATGTTCAAATGTCTCCTCCCCCCGGGCTTTGCATCTTCCGTGCCGGGATACATGGTTTAATCACCTGTAAGGACAATGCAGTTGCTAACATTTATTGGGCTCTGACTCTGTGCCAGGTACTGGGCTAAGGGCTGTACACACAGTGATACACGTCACAATTACTGTTGTGCATAATA